GAAAAGCGTCGGCTAAAACTACATACAGTTTTCCTATTGTCTTTTTTAGTTTACTCAAATATATATTTACATACATATTTTAGTTTACACATATGTATATATTTAGATATATTTTTACACACACACATACACACATGTATATACTTCAGCATTTTTCATTGAATAATATAGACATATTATGTCTATGTACTTTTATAATAATCCTTTCTGCTTCTCTAATTAGCTTCTTGATGATAAGGAAGGCGTCATAGTTTTTGTCTTCCCAAATGCTTTCGATTTACTCCGAGATCATCCTCAGGGGTGGATTGTGAATACAAACCTATTGTATCTGTGATCGTTGTGATGGTGATTTAACTCGATCCGTTATAAGTAATTTAAAATTTTAACTTTATCACGTGTAGTTATGGTGTTTTTTTGCAACTGTCCGAATATAAGGGACATAATCCGAGATGGTAACAATGCAAAATGGCATTAAATGTTCGTCAAATGCATTTTAAAACATTGCTGCTACACTCGTAATAAATTTTGTTCAGTGTTAGGTTGCTTTTGATATAAAGGGTCGCGATAATTTGTAGTTTTTGTTTCTTATTTTCATAGTGTAGTATATTGGTGTTGTTAACAAATGTTTTCTTGTATTTTGAAGGTAGAAAGGAAAGTCTTTAAATGTTGTGCGATAGAATTTGTATTGAACAAAGGGAGTGTAAGACGTCTTAATAATGTTGCTATCGTCAAACCAATATATGTATTTACATTTTGTCAGAGACACAATCTCCCAAAGGACACAAACTGATATACAATGTTGGTCTTTTCCAGAACACTAGTTGACGAAGAAGAGTTATTTCCTATGATTAAGTTGATTGTGTTAAATTTAGTATAGTATATAATTAATTTTATATATACTGGAGTCAGTGTAGAATATATTCGTATTTTTTTCATCTTTTTATACTTAGACTGCATTAGATTACGGTATAGTTATGGTAGGTTGATATGTTTAGGGTTATACATGATATATATATATATATATATATATATATATAGAGAGAGAGAGAGAGATAGATAGAGAGAGAGAGAGAGAGAGAGAGAGAGGCACGGTGGAGTAATGGATATCGGCTTGGATTGAGGAATCGGAAAGCCGAGTTCGAATTCCAGTCGAATCCATTACATTCACTTACGTGCTAATACCCTTGGGAAAGGTGTGAATCCTCTTCTTCTCCCCCCCCCACCAGCTATGAGTAAATAGCAGGACAGACTGGGTTCTATAGCCTTGGATGGCAACTGGCCTAGAAGGAGAACAACTCTGAATTCAAAACCTGCGGAGGGTCTTTTGTTGACCTTATGGCATGTAGTGCACCAGGTCTCTATATTCGGCCCTTCAAAAAGTGTGGATGGTCCTGCACGAAACCTTCACCACTATAATGTGCTGTTGTCGGGCTGTCGGTTTCCTGGGAACTGATCTGCTTGACCCTCGTACGTCGGATTCGACGGAAGAGTCGAGATATATATATATATATATATATATATATATATATATATATATATATATACGGGATTTGAAATCAAGTCCATACGAGGGAAATATTGAAGGGTTGACCGTCATATGGTATTGACCCGAGATTTAGTGTTGGTTGAGACAATTCTAATTAAAGTTAGTTACACCTTGGTGGCAGCTGTTTCTCCAGTTTGCTCTGTTTTCAACAACAATTTCGAACTCCTCTGTAGCGATGTTTGCAGCATTTAAATTGTACTTAGGTTTGTCCCTGAAACGTAACCAAGAACGGCCTACGTTAGGCTTATCATGAAATAGCTGGCTATACATGAGGATTTTTGACATCCGATCATCACACATTCTGATGACATGACCATCCAATCTGAACTGTGATCAGTTTGATTTTAAATATTTAAAAGGCAACAATCGTAAATTAATATTCACCTCGTTGAGTATTCTTTAAATAGTAAACCAATTGAATTCGACACCAGTCTATTGTTATTTTGATCTGTCGACTATATTTTGTTATATCACTTTTCATTTTCTAATTCAATTTAGAACTATTTCTGTGATAGTTCTACTATCTCTGTCGACTAACCTGCACTTTTTTCTATATATGACAAAGGTTATTCTGCTATTCATCATTTTGTATAGTTTGTCCATCTTCTTCACTGTTCAAGTCGCACAGGTCAAGTGAGTATGAATGAGAAGTTATTTCATTTTCGAATCAAGATTTCTCAAGGTTTTTCCTCCCACGCACACATTCATCCTGCTCGACTGTGTCAGCGCAACCTTTGAACATAAAGATCAAAATTGGCGAGTTCACCTTATACAACGTTGCAACTTATAACTCGGAGATGATAGTTGTGACTTGCTCCTTCATTTAAGCCGAGGTATGAAATCAGCAGAACGGGGCCAGTTTATATCCAGACAACGCTGTCTATAATTAACGTATCCGAGATTTCAAGAGGCTTATGGCCAAATCAAGTTCAAACAGCGGTTTTGTACGATTACCGAAGTTAAGCAAGGTTGTACTTGGTCAGTACCTAGATCGGTGACCGCTTGGGAATACCAGATACTGTAAACTTGGGTGTGCGACTGATGTAACGGATAACGGCTCAGGATTAGATATTGGAAAACCGAGTGTTCCGTTTACAGCTTGTTTGAAGTTATTATGCAAATCAGTCAGTTATGTGCCATATGTGAGACACGCTTAGGCGATCATGTATCTTTCGTTACATGACTAACGAGGCAGACATTTTTCTCCACAATAGGTTGCCATTACTTTTTGCGGTAGACCTGTTGCCAATATAAAAGTTATTGAATGAAGGAATGTCCACACTCGAGATATCAAAGGAGCTTTGCAGAGACCATCGAACGATACAGAAGGAATATTTGATGTATTCCAAAAAAACTGCCGAAGAAGGCTGTTGAAAACATATGACTCGAAGCAATGGAAAAGGCTTTAAGAATTTGCTTCCTTGAGATGAACATAAACTAAACATCCACAAAGGCAAGAGCAACAGAGGGAAACAACATTAAGTAACCAATTTAACGAACTTGTGTAATTGGATGACAGAACAGGGAGGTGTAGTCAAAAGACAAAAAAAGAGCTACAAAGGATAGGATATTGTGGAGAGCCATGATTACATATGTACTGAAAGGAAACAAGACACAGAAGAGTATCTGTTAAGTCAAAATTATGATCAGACAGTTTTTGGTGATCAACTCATAATCTATTAAATAGAATGTAATCTAAAAGTAAAATCTATGAAAACAATTTTTTCCCTTCTTTTAGTGAATAATTCTGACTATTAAAGATTCATATTCATTCTTCTTCTATACTTTGTGTCCTTTCAGAACGTTTGGGATCATGGCTCTCCATTATTTCCTGTCATTTGTAGCTCATATTAAATTTTGTCTTTTTGTTATTTCTCCTAAAACCTGTTCCGTCATCCATTTACTCAAGCTCATCAAGAAGGTTACGCGTCGTTTTCCTCAGTCCCTCTTGCATTCAATCTGTCCCGTGAGTATCAGACTTTCCAAGCCTTCCTTCTTTATTATGTATTCTAGGAATTTAACGGTTTATCTTTCTGTTGATTAGTATAAGTGTCCATTTGATTTCATTTTTGTCTAAAACTTCGTCATTGGTCGCATGTTTGGCTCACGTTATTCTCAGCATCCTTCTGTAGAACCACATTTCTGCTGCTTCAAGTCTCTTCTTCATCTTTGAAGAGATCGTCCAGCATTCACTGGCATATAGGAGAATTGATATTATGTAACAGTCCAGTACTCGTTTCTTTGTTTCTAACGAAATTTTCCTGTTACTTAATATTTTTTTTACTCTTGGGGATACTAGGAGCTGTCAGCTTCTATGTGCGGGTGGTGTGATCAATAATAGCATGGGGTTGTTAATCGAAGAGCCACGTTCTAATTCCAGTGGGGTCCGTTATATTCACTTACGCGCAAATAAGTTTGGTAAAGATAAGAATTCACTTCTCCCCGAACTATGGATTAATTAGTAAAACTTTTATCACTGAATCGAAAAATAAAATGTAAAAATATTTTTTGTTTTAAATAACCTGAAAAGGGTTGATAAACCGTAAAAAATAAATCAACGAATAAAAACGTATACTTAGTTTAGCACTTTGAAGGGATCTTTCGCTATCCCAAATCGCATTTTTATTCTCTGTTAAAAGACATCCCAGATATTTAATTTCTTCTGCTTGCTTGAATTTCTTATTTCCACTTTGTATTTTGCATGTTGGTCTACTTCAGTTTGTCAAAATTCCTTATTGCTTAAGGATGCAGGATAGGGCAATATATTTACTGTTAGCATAAAAATTCTGTTTATTCATGTGGAGTTAATATGCTCAATGTTAGCAGTCAACGACATATTTATCAAATCTGACCGACCACTTCTTAAATGCACACACCCTTACTATTCTTTTCAGCGCTATTGATCTGAAAACTTTTATCCAAGATAATCGAATGCAAAAACGAGGACAACCCTGGAAACCCCCGGAGACTTTAGCCGCCCGGCATTGAGATTAAATTGCGTAATGCTGATGCAAATGTGTCCCGTTGCCTGCGAGGATGATGGATCCAGCTGCAATGGCTTTGGTGTCGGCTGGCGGGGTTTGGGGCAGAAACTGTCGCAGACATGCATATTTTGTTTAGCTTGTTCCAAGAATGAAGTCGGAATACTTGCCTTTTGGGATGAGAGCTGACATTGCCACTTGGCCGTGGGAGGATGAAGAGTAACATTGAAATTTCTCCTTTCGCTTTAGATTAACTCTAGAACGGCCAAATACTCTTGAATGTCAAAAGGTTATGCAAGAAGTCGTAAAAGTAAGAACGATTATTTGACTCCGTAAAATGCATAAAGAAATTAGTGTTGATTTGCTTACGACAGTTCCAGCTCCCCGCGGAACTTAACTTTTCTCTCGAGAATAAAGTGGTTGAAACAGTCTTGGAAACAAACTGAAAGACGATAATGAAATTCAAATTTATATTACTTTACACAACCATTGTGTCTGAATATACAAGCGGGTGAACGAGCGTTTAGGATCTTAGCGTTCCTATCATGAACGCGTGGCCGAGCGTTTAGGATCTTAGCGTTTCTATAATGAGCGCTTGGCCGAACGTTTAGGATCTTCGCGTTCCTATCATGAGCGCGTGGTCTAGCGTTTAGGATCTTAGCGTTCCTATCATGAGTGCGTAGTCGAGCGTTTAGGACCGTAGCGTTCCTATCACGAGCGCGTGAGCGGGCGTTTAGGATCTTAGCGTTCCTATCATGAGTGCGTGGTCTAGCGTTTAGGATCTTAGCGTTCCTATCATGAGCGCGTAGTCGAGCGTTTAGGACCGTAGCGTTCCTATCACGAGCGCGTGGCCGAGCGTTTAGGATCTTAGCGTTCCTATCATGAATGCGTGACGCGTGTTCAGGATCTTAGCGTTTCTATAATGAGCGCCTGGCCGAGCGTTTAGGATCTTCGCGTTCCTATCATGAGCGCGTGACCGAGCGTCTATGATCTTCGCGTTCCTATCACGAGCGCGTGGCCGAGCGTTTACGAGCTTAGCTTTCCTATCATGAGATCTATGTTCGAATCTCATTAGTGATGATATCTCATAGAGGTGATTTCTTTATAAACATGCTCTCAGCCTACGGCATCGTTGAGAAAAGCCTGAAAGCCATACACCAGTCAAACACAACCCTTGTGAGTGGTTCTGTCAGCACGAAGGCACGAGTATTACTGCTGAGATTTTGAGTATAATGGCCTTTTTCACCTGCTGATCGCGCCAGATTTTGCGGTGAATCATTGTAACTAAGATCCACTCAACATGGACCGAGAAAGCGACTGCAATAGAGATTACTTAGTTAACATAAAAAGCCTGCACACTCGGAAACAAGCATCAGGGTTTGTACCTGAATTGATGTGCCATAAAACTATATACGCATTAGGCATTTCAATAGTATCGCAATGTTGTTAAAAAAATTCCATTGGAAATCACTCTCAATGTCTTTTGAGATTAGCACATTAAAATCTGAACGCCGAAAATTGTTCTTTCATCATAATTATTTTCGACATTCAGATTTTAATGTGCTAATCTCAAAAGATATTGAGCCTGATCTCCATTCTTGCCGCGTAATCTATCAGAGATTTGTGCGAAATTTTCCAAGATTAATAAATAGCTGTTCATTAGCCATAACTTGGAGATTTGATAAAATAATACAGAACTTGATTAAAAGTAAAATGCGCTGGAATTCAGTATTTTCGTTATTGGAAATCTTAAATTTCACGAATAAAAACAAACTTTAATCTTAGCCGACACGTTTCGTCCTGTGAAGAACTTTATCAAGGAAGAAGACCAATATGGCAAACCCTGTCAAATAACTCCAACATATCCAAAGCAATAGCTCCAGATTCATCATTTTATATAAAGCTTGATAAACTCATTCACTAATAACTGTTAACACATCAGCAGTTGTCCTAGAAAAGCGAAAGCCATATTGCATATCTTAAAGAAGACGCTGTGAGATGAGATTGTTAACGAATTCAGAGTTGATTAGAGCCTCTAGTATTTTGCCAAAAGGAGGTAGATGTTGATAGGTCAATAATTAGAATGATCAGAAGGTTACCCAAGGTCTTAAATACAGGAACAACAGATGAGGATTTCCAACAAACAGGAAAGCATCTAGTAGCAAGGCACTTACTGTACAGGTTAGAGAGAACAAGAGCCAGTTTGGGAGCACATAACTTAATCACTATTGCAGGGATACCATCAAGTCTACATTCTTTGATGGAATCTTGATGACAGCAGAAACCATAGACGTTATATGCATATCCCACAATAGAGACTCAGTTCTAAATGAAAATTCAGGCAAGGATACTCCAGATGAGTCAAGAGTAGAATTTGAGGAGAATTCTCGAGCAAAGCATTTCGCTTTATCAATAGAAATTAATACCTCAAATTGAGTGAAGATAGGAGGAATAGAAAACTTACTCTTATTTAAGACACTTCAACAGAGCTGTCAGTAGTCACTGCAGCCAAATTTGTTACAGGCTATAGGCTGCCTAATTCTATCAGCAAACAAAAACTTAGCTCCTCTGAAAACACGTTTACATTTAATAAGTGCAGCCACGAATAGGCGTCTGTTTTGATCTGAACTATCATGCTGGAACGCGAGAAAGGAATTGTTCATGTGGACTAAATCGACAGAACAAGCCAGTCTGAACTCAGACGAAGATTGTGGTTACAACTGGTCTTTCCGAGATAACCAAGGATGAACAGTTCTTAATAGGAAGGTTAAGAATCTCGTTCCAAGAGGCATCACGAAGAAAGTCCAGAAATGATTCCAATCGGTACGCTGGTAGAAGAATAGGAGGTCCCTTTCTAATAAACGACACATGAATTATCAACAGAAACTACTGTGTGATCTGAATTGCCAAGAGGACAGAGTTGTGGGACCCAACAAGAGTTAGGAGAGGGAGCTAAGCAACAAATCGAGTAAAGCAGCATGTTGATCAGACTTATTAGGAAAACTAGTAGAGAAATCCACTATTTGACAAAGCAACGGACAAATTTGAATACCGGCCACATCAGTAACATTAGAATGCTTAAGCCAGTTCACATGATGGACATTAAAATTCACCAAGTGCAAAAATGTTTGCAGATGAATATAGAGGGAAAGAGACATCAGAAAGTTTGTCTAATATGTTACAGTCCTGATATGCAAGAGAGTGATAAAGGATAAAGGATAAAAGATAGCTATAGAATGTAATAATGAAAGTTGAAAGTCGAAGGATTGGAAAACTTTCACGGATGTAAATACCGAGGACATGCTAGAGGCTTTTCGACAAAGAGGAAGATAGCCACGAATAGAGAATCCATTAGTAGCAATTGAAGAATTTAAATTAGTTTCGCAAAATGCCAAGATTTCTGGAGAACATTCCAAGAGAAAAGATTCTAGACTAGAGAAATTAGTATGTATTCCACGAATATTGGAGAAAGAAACGTTGAGAGGGTAGGGGTTTTTATTTTTCTGGTTTACATTTCTTTCTTTTCAGTGTATCTGTCATGAGAAGTTTTTCTTAAAGGTCCAAATAATTGTCATTATCTATCATCAGTGGCAATACATGTAGGGACACCTAACCATACGCAGCATTGAACTACAAATACCCCCGTATTATGCAACTGTTGATCAGAGCAGAATCTCTAAACGTTACCAACGAGTTACTCTGTCGGATGCAGCAACCAGAGAGATGCGAATACTATACAATTCATAATGAAAACTCGCAGCGCCTGATCAGTCACATGATCAAAAGTTTAAGATAGTTATATCCTTAAACCCTTGGAAGAAGAAAGAATTGGCAAATCTTAACCATATGCTAAAAAAGGAAGCAAGGCATAAATCTCTACTTCTATTTACATTATTCGGACTGTTGTCCTCATCTTTGTCGCCATATTTATTACAACGTTTCGGACGTTGTACGCTCCGGCCTTCTTCAGGTGGTTGGAATGTCGAACTAAACCCTTTTTTCAAGTTGTCTCCATATTTTTGGTGTATCGGATCCATACCGATACTTCAGCATCTGTCTATATTTCTGAGATGAGGTATTATATACACTATTTACATAGGATTTTTCAATTTGTCTCCGTATTTTCGGTGTTCAGTTCGGCCGTTATACGCTCCGTCCTTCTTCAGGTGGTTGGACTCTTACTTTCACTTTCTGTAACCACTTATGTGACAGTGGCATTCTCGCCTTGCTTAAAAAAAATAAACATTGTTTTCCTTTCTTTTTTATATAATTTTTTTTTTTTTTTTTTTTTTTTGTCAGTCGAGATTCCTCTAGGAAAGGTTTGTGCTAGAAAGTTATATCTGAGTTTGAGTTTAGGCAAAAGAGAAGAAGCAAAAAAAAAGATAAAATTAAAAAGAGTGAAATAGCTGAGATAACTAATTATTACGGGAATTATGAAACCTGTTGGTAAATTAACTGTTTAGTTATAACTATTAAGTTTTAACACAATTTCTGATGTCATCAATTAATTAAAACGTCAGTCTGGATATTAATTTACCTTTGTCCCAACAAATTTTACGACACTTAATTTAAGGTAAGTACGCAAAAAAGTTCGATTTTAACTGATTCGTCCGGCCATCGAAATGACCAGCAAGAATTCAAATTCAGTAAATGAAGATAGCTATGGACAGATATTTGTTTTAAATTACTAAGCTATCATAAAGTACAACTTAATTCCAATTGTAACAGGCAGATTTGATCAGAACGCTTAATAATAATAATAATAATAATAATAATAATAATAATAGGAGGAGGACATTAACAATTCCAGCTGTTTGGAAAACATTCCAATCGACTCATTGAAGGAATCTCTGGTAGCCTTTGCCTTAAAGAAATGCAAAAAATTGTACTCACCAGTACAGCCCACAACTCACCAAGGGCTTTATTTATGTAAAATATGTACGATTTTTTTTCAGAACTGCTCAGTGTAAAAGCTCATGATGCCATTTCTGACCTTAGGTCTCTGGTTGGAAAACGGAAAGAAATTAGTATACACCAGGAACCAAAGGAAATAAACAATAATAATAGTAATAATCTAAATAAATAAACAGCCGTCTGATATATATCTGAAACCGCTCTAATTCAGGCCATACCTGTTCTACATAGACATATATTTTTTTGGTATCAAGACGACTCCTAGATTGAAAATTTGCCGTTTATCTGGTTACTTGAATATCTAGCATTGGGATTTGTGTCTGGATGGGGATGGAACAGGTAAAAAATCAAATTTTAAAGTAACTGAAAAAAAATTATTGATTTTAATTTTTTTTTTTAATTTTATTGAGTTTAATGTAACACAAAAACTTTGTGAATTAAAAAAAATGTTTTAAATTCAGTTTAAAATATCTTCAAAACTTATCAGACTGGTGCGGTACCTTTTGAAAGTGCCTGAAAACCATAGGGTAGACGGTACCCTTGGGTGCCGTCGATAGCTGGGCTAGCACGAAGTTACAAGTCATCGTGCCCGAGGGCTTGAGCGTGCTGACCTTGTTCAAATTGTTGATCAAGCTAGATAACACACTCTTTCCCCAAAACTGTAACTAAGGTCTGATGATCATAGTTGCAGTATAAACCACGAGTAGGCTCTGTGGGTGTTGAATAAACACAAATGTACCTGAGCGAGCGTCTGCAATGGGGATTGGCTAGCTGCCCTAGTAGCCGGGCACCCTCGAATACGAGTGGCCAGCTATACATATATACTGTCACTGAAAATGGCACAAAAAAAAACTTTTTTTTTATTTATTTTCTACACAGGGGTTAATTTTGAGATGAGATTTTCACTATAGACGTGCTGAAAAAAAAGGAAATTATGTTGAAAAATCAATATTTATAAAAAAAAAAAAGGCTCCTTTTCATCTCTACAAAATGAATTTATCGGTGTCCCTATGTAATTTCGTTATGCGCTTAAATATCGCGCTGTCAATGTTTGTTTCTGACTGGTAACTTAACATAGGTATCTTTCTAGTTCCTATTCTTTTTCAAATGTCGCCGTTATTCACGATCATTGCATGGGCAGAATTGCCAATAACAATTGCCAGTTGTAAACTTTCGCAGCTTCTCTATTTATCTGTTGTAGAGAAATATTGATTGTACAGTTTATCAAAGGCTGAGAGACTAAATACCTGATAAACCGATAAGCCAAGCCTGTCGTATCAACAGGAGGCAAATAGGAAATAAATTAAATCATTGGTCAAGCAGGGAACAGAGTAAATATGGAGGAAATTATAGGGGTATTTCAAAACGCCTGAAAATATATTATCTAGCTGATGTACGTATGCCAGGGTGGTTTGGAGAACAGGCGACAAAAATAGAGAGAAATAGAGAGAGAGAGAGAGAAGGGGAAAGAGACAGACAGACAGAGAGAATGAAAGATAGAAAGAAAGAGAGAAAGAGATAGATAGATAGAGAAACAAAGAAAGAAAGAAAAAGAAGGGAGGAAGAGAGAGAAAGACAGAGTGAGAAAGAAAAAGAAAGAAAGAGAATGAAAGGGAGAAAGGAAGAGAGCAAGAGAGAGAGAGAGGAAAAGAGACAGAGAGAGAGAGAGAGAAAGAGACAAACAAAGTGAAAGTGAGAGAACGAAAGAGAGTGAAAGGAAGAGAGAGACGGACAGAGTGAGAGAGAGGGAAAAGGGGAAAGAAACAGACAGACAGAGAAAATGAGAGAAAGATAGAAAGAAAAAGAGAGAAAAAAGTGAGAGAAAGGGAGAAAGAAAGAGAGAAAGAGATAGATAGATAGATAGATAGATAGATAGATAGATAGATAGATAAACAAAGGAAGAAAGAAAGAAAAGGGAGGAAGAGAGAGAGAAAGACAGAGTGAGAAAGAGAAAGAAAGAGAATGAAAGAGAGAAAGGAAGAGAACAAGAGAGGGAGGAAAAGAGACAGAGTGAGAGAGAGAGAGAGTGAAAGGGAAAGAGAGAGTGAGAAAGAGACAAACAAAGTGAAAGAGAGAGAACGAAAGAGAGTGAAAGCGAGAGAGAGACGGACAGAGTGAGAGAGAGAGAAAGAAAGAGAGAAAAGCAGAAAGAAAGAAAGAGAGGAAGAAAGAGAGAGTGAGAGAAAGAATAATTTAAAGTTATCACGTAAGCAAGGTGTGAAGCTTTAAATACACGAGAAGAGGAGGTCAAACGCTAGCTGTCATGAATCAGGCGAAAGGTGATAGAACCTACCCAAACTAGACCTGTCACTAACAGAAGTCAATTAAAAAAAACCAAAAAACAATGCGTAAGACGAGACCCTTTTAAATATATTCATGATGAACTACAGGGAAAAACACATCAAGAACATTTGGTTACAGGTAATCGGAAGACAGACTATAAATAGTTGCATTTAATAATTGATAAATCATTTCCAATTATTATAACATCTTTTTACTAATGTTCACTCAATACAAGGCCCAAGAGCCCCTCAAGCTAGAGGTTCACTGTATATGGTCGTAGGAGCGGAAGAAAGGTCAAGAAGGGAAGTTCTTGAGGAAAAATAGCAGCTAACTCTATACTTGAATAGGTTAATATATAATTAATGAATAAAATTTCAAAGTTCAGTCGGAGACGTTAGAAGTATAATGTGGGAGTAAACTTTAGAAGCAACTGGAAACCCAATCCTAAGCAAGAAACCAAGGATAAACCTCCTGTTCAAAAGACCTGGAAAGAGTGTGAATCGGGCGTTTGGCGCATCTATCTACTGCCATTTTGGGAGGAAAAAAATAATTAGTGAACAAAATTTCCGAGTTCAGGTGGAAACGTTAGTAGTATCGAGATGAAGTAGATATTAGAGCAGTGGCCCCCAATCTATGCCGCACACTTCATAGGCTAACAGGCGGAATAATAGAAAGGCAATCAAATATTTAGAATCAGTTTTAAAAAAATCATATACTAAAAATAAATATAATTTCAAAATTTAAAATTATTTTTATTATGGATTACTTGTAATTGCATTTATGAGTCGTAGTATAAATAGTTATAAATAATTATTGACCGACTTTATCATTGTTATATTTTTGCATTATATCGAGTACTAGCAGTAGAGCCCGGCGTTGCCCGGGGATGTAACAGTAAGAGATAGATCAAGTATCGACCATCATAAAATTGACAAAGATTATTGTTTAAGGTTGACCGACACGCATGTCTTAATTAGTTTTTTGTTTTGTTTTGTTTTTTATTTTTTTTTTACGAATTGGTCAAACTCAAACAAAAACATTGTTTTCAATCGTTATGAGTCTACCGATTGAATAGAATTTTATTATAAACAATTGTCTTGTAAATGGAATTTTTAAAGCATTCTTAATGTAAAAATAAAGAAAAAACTGCGCAAGACAATAAGAAACACTACCTGCCAAAAAAAAAGTGAAGTTTTGTTGAAATCGGTTGAAAAATGTAGGAAATCCGATCCCATATATAAACGAATACACACACACAAACAACCTGGGTTTTATAATAAGTATAACTCGATATGAGTTGTCCCCCTTTAATTCTCGAAACCGATGCCTCTTAATCGTGTTTTCAAATTGATTTCGTGCAAAAACAATTGTGTTTTTCCAATTTTTGGCGCTGTCAGAACCACCGCAAGGTAATTTTACGTAGTCCTGTGAAGTTTTGTTAAAATCGGTTGAAAAATGTAGGAAATCCGATCCAATATATAACCGAACACACACACACACAACCTGGGTTTTATAATAAGTATGATTAAGAATATAGTTACTATGGTCCACAGATTGGAGGAGAAAGTTATCAATGATAATGTTCTGACTTCGAATACGCGGTTATCGCCCTTTAACACCTCCTCTCTGGATTTATTTTCCGTGGGGCTGCTTGTGCCTTTTCAGTTCTAACAAATAAAAAGGTTTTTAAAAAAAAGGCTTCTTTTTATTGATAAGGAGATGAGAGTTTATTTAAAATTAGGCCTAATATAAAGGAGATTACTCGTTAAAAACAAACTCATACCTTTCATTACATTTGTGTACTTTAATCATATTATAAGGTGTGTTATAGATTATATTTATCTAAGTAGTAGTCGTTGTTTTGTTTTATTTTTTAAATATTCTTGTTTATTGCATAAAATTTGGTGAGTCTCGAATAAATTTTAATTCCAAAAATGCGGCCCAAACATAAAAACAAAATCGAACCACTGCATTAGAGGAAGCGGATACCCAACCCTAAACATAAACCAAGAGATAAAACACCACAACTCTTCACAAGATTCATGGAGGGCCGTAAAACGGACGATAGGATGGTCCGATAGATTCAGTCAGTCAGTTATGTGCCATGCGTGATACACGCTTAGGCGATCATGTATCTTTCGATACAAGACTGACGAGGCAGATTTTTTCCCGCAGTAAGTTGCCATTTCTTTCTGCGGTAAACCAGTTGCCATCCATGGCTATAGAATCCGGGACTATAGCTGGGTGGGAGAAGTGGATTGATACCTTTCCGAAGGTTATTAGCACGTAAGTGAAAATATTGGATTTGAATGAAATTCGAACTCGCCTCTCCGATTCCTCAATCAGAGCCGCTCTCCATTACTCCACCGTGTCTACCTTAGGTTAGTAAACTGAAACTTAGATTTTAGCTAAGTTCCTTGTACCGCTCCATTAAGTGGTGAAACAAAACTTAGAGAGTTGAGTTAAAGGGAAATAACTGAGACATCCGGAAGAGGCATGGCACGTGGAACTAGAATAATATACCGCAGTGGACGAAATAAACGGTTCAGTTCGAAATTCCAGTCACCTGAAGTACGTTCTCTCAGGTATTTCCTTTTAACTCAACTCTCGAAGTTTTTGGTTCACCACTGCTGTGGCCTGGTATTGAACTCATAGCCACTGGATCTAGCCAAAGTCTTTATCCACTGGGCCATGTGTTCTTGAGGAATTCCAATCACCTTAAGAAGGCCAGGGCGTATAACGGTCGAGACATTAGGAATATGGCAATGAAGATAAGGATAATAGTCCAAATAATTTAAATAATGCAAGTGACAATTTTTTTCTTGTAAATATCCTGATTTCATTGTTTTATGCATAAACAGTATAATAATCTACGATGTTATCTTCCTTGTATTAATGGCCTAGCTTTTTGCTTTTGGCATGCTCCCACTGTATAAAAGATGAGAATATTCCTTATTGTAGGGCCATCATTTTCTGTAAAAGCACTTAGGATGAAAAACAGTCCTCGGGAAATCCTTCTTCTAGATTGTGACGGTAAAATTCGTTTCCTTGTCGGCAACAGAAATCAAGAAGAAAGCAATTAGAAATTGGTTATCCTCCAGCAAAACTGTCTTTCTAATCTTTTATCTAGAAACTTGAAACGTTCTATGAGTAATTCAGACGCAGTAAAATGCAGAATGCAGGTTCCAGGGATGCTTACAACATTTATGTCATGCATTGTGACGAGTCTTCCATGTTTGATGAATCTGATAAATTCAAAGAGAAATATATCTGGCT